TACGGACGCATGTACAGACGGACAAATGGAATACTTAAGATCATCATCTTTGCCTTCCGAAAAACTGCACAAACCCTCACTGATTATGGCAAGCCAGTATATAATACAAATGTTAGACAATATTTTCAAAGCGGGTATTTTTAATTCAGTTCCAAATAACATTTTAAACATTCAAAATAAATGTTTTTTGTTAGGAATAATTTTAAATACATTATTGGATTCTGCTGATTTTAAATTACCTGGACTCATTTAACATCTTACCTCTCCATCAATCTGGTTTCAGGAAACAACACAGCACAACCACTGCTTCACTGAAGGTTCTTAATGACGTTGTTGAAGCACTGGATGCTAAGGATTATTGTGCTGCACTTTTCTTAGACCTGTCTAAAGCTTTTGACACTGTGGATCATAGCATCTTGTGTCATAAGCTCTCAGAAATCGGTTTCTCAGAACACACCTTTGGTTGGTTCTCTAACTATCTCTCAGGCAATGTGTTCAACATAATTCCTCCAGTTATTTAACAGTCAACAATGGTGTACCACAAGTCTCAGTCTTAGGACCCACCCTCTTTACAATCTACATATGTAATGTAGGTAAAAACATCCCTGATGCATCCATACATTTCTATACTGATGACACAGTTGTTTAATGTCGAGCTAAAACAGTTAAGGTTTTTGAAATCTGCATTTGACATCATCCAGTCAGATTTGTTCCACCTCAAACTTGTCCTAAATGCCGACAAAACCAAAGGGATGCTTTTTTCAAATAGGAAGTCGGTCCCAGCAGTTCTTAATAATAATAATCTTGTCAAACTGATTGAAAACAACAAAGTCCATGCTCAATAACCCAGGTATGCAATCCAACATTTTTCAGTCAGGTCATCTGGACAGTTTCTTTTTTTGTGCTGAAACATTTCGTCTTAGATCCAGAAGGCTTCATCAGTCAATGAAACGCACAACAAAACTGATTCTTCCCCCAACAGCTTACTCCAAAGTGGAACAAACCAGTTTTGCTTGTGATAAGATAGTCTTAAGACAAGTTTGACAAGACTGTCAACAAGGAAGAGGGCCGGCAATGGAGGAGGGGGCATACCAAAGAGACTCTTATCACAAGCAGAACTGCTTTGTTCCACTTTGGAGTAAGCTGTTGGTGGAAGAATCAGTTTTGTTATGTGTTTCCTTGACTGATGAAGCCTTCCAGATCGAAGGCGAAACGTTTCAGCACAAAAAAGGAAACTGTCCAGATGACCTGACTGAAACATGTTGGATTGCATACCTGGATCATTGAGCATGGACTTTGTTGTTTTCAACTAGTTTGACAAGACTGTCATCAAGGAAGAGGGCCAGCAATGGAGGAGGGGGCGTACCAAAGAGCCCATCTTATCACAAGCAGAACTGGTTTGGTCCACTTTGGAGTAAGCTGTTGGTGGAAGAATCAGTTTTGTTGTGTGTTTCCTTGACTGATGAAGCCTTTCGGATCGAAGGCGAAACGTTTCAGTACAAAAAAAAACTGTCCAGATGACCTGACTGAAAAATGTTGGATTGCATACCTGGATTATTGAGCATGGACTTTGTTGTTTTGACACCTACCTTACAACACCACTTTCAACACCTTGGCTGCGCCTAGAAATTCTGTCCATAAAAGTTATGAACAGAATCGGTGACAAAGGGCAACCTTGGCGGAGTCCAACTCTCACCGGGAACAAGCCCGACTTACTGCTGGCAATGCGGACCAGGCTCTGACACCGGTCATACAGGGACCTAACAGGCCGTATCAAAGGGCCCGGTACCCCATACTCCCAGAGTAACCCCCACAAGGTTCCCCAGGGACGCGGTCTTCTCCAAGTCCACAAAGAACATGTAGACCGGTTTGGCAGTTATAGCTCTGATAGTTAATTGTAAAACTATGTGAACGGTGTTTGCCGATGTGATGAGTCATTGTGTATAGTAGGGCAGTAAATTTTAGAATTTTGAATAACAATGTGTTCCTTGTGAAAACAAGAGATTGTACTCATGAAAACTGTGCCAAATGCAGCAAAATTGTGTGTAGTGTTTTGAAAAAAGTATGTTTTAGAATAACAGTTTGAGCGTAAAGCAGGAATTGTGCTTGTAGATTAGCAGAATTGGTTCAGGGAGTTGGTGAATGAATTACATGTTGTGGTCATTTTGTCTCAAGTACCAGCATTTGTGTGTAAACAATGCAGAAAAGCTGTAACTGGTTCTTATAAATGTCTATTCATATGATGGTGTGCGTGTGTCATCTGAGAACAAAATACCATTTTGAGAAGAGATTACATTGTTTTGAATGTAAAGTTTCATTTTGAAGGAAAATTGAGGGGTTTTGCTCATTGTTTGTGTAGTTTTTTGACTAGTGTGTCGTGTTCTGAGAGTATGAGGCATGTTTTTAGAAAATGTGTGAAAACAATTGATTTAAAAAAATGTAAATAGAAGAAAACAACTTATATGAACAGGTAATTTTATGTATAATATGTTCTTATTTTTCCCATGGAAATACAGTAGTTATACTTTGTGATAGATGAACAGATAAAAAGTTGTGTACAATGAGTTTTTTCCTTCTGCACAGCCAAATGATCTCAGGGCTTGTGCTTGTGTTACATCTTGCTGTAGAGCATCATCTAGTGGTCAAAGTGGCTTCTTTGCAATTGTTCCATCAGATGTTGGTACAATACTTCCTTTGAGGATATATATGAAAAAACAAAAAAACAAAAAACAACCTCTTACTAACTCAAAATATTACTAAGATCCTAAAAAAGTTTTTCTGAAGTGCACATTTAAAAAATAAAAGCATATTAAATGCATAGCTGAAATGCTTCTTTTTTAAATGTCTCAGTTTTGGTAATGTGAAAGACAACTCTTACTTTTTGATTTAATATCTCTTTATCAGACGTTCCCCATCACAACTTGTTTTTCATCATTTTGCAGTTTTAATTTATGGTAAACCTGCACATCATTATATAAAATAAAACGATTGCCCTCTAATGTTTTCAGTGTTCACTCACAAAAAACACAAAGCAGTATTGTGTTAATTTATGAGAGTATTATAAACTAACAGTTACATATAATAATGTAAACTTTACGGCTGCATACTATGTTTTTCTAAAGCTATGAACATTTACTACTTCACAGCTCTACTCTATTACTCTACTTTCCAACTTTTAACCATAGGTGTCAGAAAGTGTTCAGCCCAAATAACAATCAAAAAATGTCAATAATTTACCAGAAATGTTAGAATATTATAGTGATATCATCATGGGGACACTAATATGTTGGAGGTTTTAAAAATATAGTGAATGATTGGAAATAAAATGCAAAAATGAAATACTACTCATCATATCCTGATGCATGCTCAATAATCCAGGTAGAAAAATCTAAAAAAGTTAAATCTGGTCCTCTGGATTTTTTGTTTTGTTTTGTTTTTTTTGCTTTGTTTTGTTTTTTTGAATGTCCAGAGGACCAGATTTAACCTTTTTTAGACTACTCATCATAGTGCATTTTGAAAAAAGAAAAAAAAAAAAAAACTTTATCTGCCATACATTCCAAATATTTGCCATTTTCCACATACTTTAAAATATGAATGCAATAATTCAAACACACGTTTTGTTAATACAAACAAAATGTCAAATGTTTTAAACTATTTGATGCCATGAAACAATTTCTAAATAATCGTGCATATACAGGTAGCTAAGAAATTACTTTGGTTTATAAGTTATGTTTAATGTTTTCCTGACTGCTGAACAACTGTGGAGCCGTGTTTAGAGTGCCTTACGGGGCGACTTTTCTGAAAAAAAGCCGTAGTCTGTCTGAAACGGGTACTCTTGTTTATAATTGTCAGCGTTAAACAGAATGTAGTTTGACGGATGTTTACTCATCCTGTTTTATTTTGAAGTCGTCGACGGAAATGAAGTACGTGTGGACACCGGAAGTATCGCTTGACTGAACTGACCGGGCTCTTGAGCACAAGGTATTCATGTGCTGTATTTTTATTTAGTTATTTTTTAAAACTTTTGTTATCTTATAGAATGTCAGTGTAGTGCTCATTATTATGCTTACTTATGTTAACAATCCGTAATTACGTATGTGTTTCCCTTGAACAGTTACTTTTGCCGGCTGGACTCACGGTAAACTGATGCTCCGGGTGGAAACAGGTTGCGGTAGCCGTAAAAGTGAAAACTAAAACTTAAACCAGAAATATTTATTTTAAAAAGCCAAAGTATGAGTTTAAACGGCTAATGTCACTAAATCAATCAAAAATAATTTAGTTTAAATTAGAAAGTTATGTCACTTTTATTATTATTAGTTTAAAATGTTTTAATCTTCGAAAGTGTAAATAAATGTGTGCTTTTGTCGAGGTATGTAATAAAAGCGCCAGCACTAAATGTAAATGCTGTGCACTAAAATGCGTTACAATGATACAAACGAATATAGTGCCCCAACTCGAGCTCGAGTTTTTAATAATTTTTTTAAAAAAGTGTGTCAATTTTCTCTGATGTCTGTAAAAATAAATAAAAGATTTATAAGCGGTCGCATGTGTTGCTCTTATTTTGAAGGTTGACTAGGCGGAAGCGGCTAGTTGTTTGCAGCTTGACTGGAAGGAGGTCAGCAGATTCCGTTGGGGAGATCATCGCTCTTTATGGTGTCTCCTTGCTGTCTTCATAGGTTAACCGTGTCACCTCTGAGATTCGACCATTTGGGTACGTAGCTCGATGTTCGGGTGCTGTCTAGAGATGTTATGCTGTCATATAAATAAGAAGGGGTCAAAAACTTGCTCCCTTCCTTCCGCCGCTGCTCCTCCTTAGTTTTGCCTGGCAAATTAGCTGGCTAGCCCTTTTTTTTTCCCTCTTTGCTTTGCAAATAACTGATGTGTTTCCTCACTCTCAAACCTGAGCACATATTATATTTATAGTGACGTACATTTCTCATTCCCCTTTCAGCTCCTACGCCTTTGAGGACTGGTTTTAGCCTGAAATATGAACAGAAGAAGAAAATAGGCAGCGGCGACTGGCTTCCTGTGGGATTCAGCCGGAGCTTTTTTTGTGTCTTTTTTTCCTCTCTCACTGTGGACATGTCTGGTTCACCATGGGGCCATGCTGTGAGAGACTAGCTGGCCGACAGCTCGGCTAGCGCAACATTTCCAGGATTTTAGATGATCATTCGGTTGAGGAGCTGATTTATTTTGGACGCTGCTTCCCTCCCTGGAGTCAGCATGGAGGAGCCCAGCCTGAACGACTCCAACGTCAAGGTGGCTGTTCGAGTTCGGCCCATGAACAGGAGAGGTGAGAGGGGTTCATTCTGCTCACATTTGTCATATTCCAACCTGGAGTAAAAACTAATCTGAACGCTAAACTGCAGCAGGACTGGAGATCGTGTTTGTGAGGGCTCTTTTGCTGTCTGCTTCATCTTCACCACTGTCGAGCTGCATCTTCTTGAGGCATTGTTCAGAGGAGACTGGCTTGTCTCAAGCACACACTGCTCAATTTTCCGAGCATGGGATGGCAGTAAGAAATCACTAGCCATTAGTGAAATGAGCTGCTGGCTGGTTTGGATGCCACATGTTTTTTACAAGGCTGCCAAGGGGCTTTCCCTATGGATGCCTGCCATCCCATAAGATTTAAAGTCATGCTGCTTTGTGAGATTTGCTGTTTTGAAAGCCTGGATGCTTTGTCTCTCTGGTTAATAGAGATGCCAATAGTGTCTTGATTTCATTTATCACTTACTGAGCACATCAGCCGAGTCAGTAGTTTAGCAGAAGCGATTTTGGCTTCAACATCCAGGATCAGAAAAACTTACTACATTGTAAGGTTTTTGGGAGCATCAGTATGCTGTGTCATTAGCAGGGAATTAAGTTGCATGGTGACATCGTTTTTAACAAGAAGCTTTGTTTTCCTCCTGTCACTGTGGTCTAAAAGCGATGCCACCCTGCTGTGCATGTGTCCACCGAGCTTCCTAGGCCTGCTGCATGTTGTCACATCCTCATGTCTAATTTCAGAAAAGCTTGGGTAACAAAGACTCAGTCTCGCACAAGTCTTCATTCACGCTCTACTGGGCCAGGCAATTATTGTCGCTTATTTCCAGCACTGCATAGAAAGGCACAGATGACATTTTGTGGTTGTTTGCCAAAATGGCTTTGTGCCATGGGCGGCGACGGCTCCTGAGCAATAATACTAGTGGGGTGGACTTTAATTTTCTGAAAATTGTTACAAATTGCGTTACATTTTGTATGGGGGGGGGGAAACAAAACCCGGGTATGTGTTGCTTAATATTTACTATAGCTGGTGGGGTGTTTTATTATTATTATTTTTTTTGTGGTTTTGTGTGTGTGTATGTGTGCGTATACCCAAAGTCTTTGCCATTTGTCTCCCTCCTGCGGGTCGAGATTGTCTCAGGAAAAACATATAAATCAGAGAAGCTGACACCTCCCACCCCCGGCCAAAAGGTGCACAGCTTTCTGAATTGCATTTCTAATTTGATTTGAAGTACTGGTAATAATGCTGAAATAACACTCCAGATTAACACAGTTAAATGGGAGGAAAAAGCTCTGTGAAGTACCTCTAAAATAATATAAAAGATAAAAATGAGGTTATAATATATCATCACCAAATCCAACAGAAGATTTAAATGGGGATCAAACACAGTTACAAGACCGCTGCTTCAACCATTGCGCCATCACAGCCACACATACAAAAGTTGTTTAAGGTCCTACCATGTTGGAGGAAATTTCCTGTTCTTTTCCTCTGTCCTTTTCAGTTTTCTGTTCGGGTCCCCACTGTCTGCTCCAAATGGATTTTAAAACAGAATATCTCCACTGTTGGTCTCAGAAGGTTTCTCTAAATCTATTCCTGGGTTTGAGCTCATGACAGGTGTAGGTAGAGATCAAATCAATGCCCTAAAACCAGCCGAATGTGTCCACAGGGCAAAAAATCAGATGCCCCAAATGAAACCCTATTGGACCTTCCTGTTGGTTCACTGGCCACACGTTTGGATCTGCGTGATGAATGCGGGTCATTGAAAGTTAATGCCCTATAATGGTAAATAAGTAAAACACTGAGGATGAATCACAAAAAAATCATTTTAAATTCCACTTAAAATTGTCAAAATAGTTGAAAAATATACAGAACAAAACAATACACAACAAGCTCAGTAAATAAGTAGTTAACTTTATTAGGAGGAACTACTTTGTGGGGCAAATAATTTTTTTTTAGGTGGGGCTTCACCCCACCTGCCCCTATGGATCAGCCACCAGCGGGATACCATGTGTCCCATTAAAGGAGGAGGAGAACTGTGAAGGGAGAGATGTTGACTGACAGAAGGTTACAAGATCGAGGCAGTGGATCTCCACGCTGTCCCCACAGGCAGAGTATTCACTGTCTGCACTCATGCAGAGATGCTCCACTTTCCGGAGGGTTGTCTCTAAGGTTAGACATGAAATGTCTTTTTTTTGTTTTTTGTTAGTTGACGCTGGATGTTTGGGATGTTCAAGGTTGTGATGTAAAAATGAAGGGAGGTTAAGGTTAGCTGTGTCAGTTTTCTCAAGTTGAGTCCATTCGGATCAATAGTTGTATGGATTTCTTGTGCAAATATCACTTGTATCTCTCTGATCTCTTTGTTTTCTCTCTATCTGACCATGACCTTGTGAAAACAAGTGCACATTCTTGCTAGTTTCAGTAGCATCATTTCCTTTTCCATTTTTTTTAAAGTTAAACCAGGTAACCGATGTCAAGCTGTCGATCAAAGTATTGTTTAACTTTTTTTTTCAAGGTAAATTTACATGAAGCCAGTATGAAAGCTAATGTTTTGTTAAATGCTGTTTGCAGTTCTGCATTTAAACTATTGGCATCCTGATTATTTCTGTAGTGATTTTGTGTGGTTGGTTGGTGCTCCAATAAGATACAATTTTTTTTCCCATATTTTATTGCAACAAAGTAGTCACAGTTAGGGTATTGTTATCAGGGTCTCTCCACATATGTTTTGAGTTGCTCAGATTGTTCTCAGGTTTTCTTCTGCCCTTTACTCTCAGACAGCTGCTTTAGGATACAGGAGCAGAAGCTGAGGAACAGCGCTCCATTCACATTTGTTCAGAGGTGTGGTGACTGAGATCTGAAACTCTGAAACCTTAAGAGCAGTATCCCAGTGAATCCCAGGTTTAACAGGAGAGGTGGTGTTGCTGCCCGGCTGGACAAAGGCAGGAAGGGAGTGAGTTTGCACGAGTGTTTGCTAATGCTGCATAATGTTCCATGTTCCCATGACTGTGGCCTTCGAAGAACAGAGCAACCTCAGGCTTAGCAACGGCAGTGCCACGGCTAGTGAGCTTCCTGGCTGAGTGCAGGACTGTTGTGCCAAACCTCACCACAGTTGGAAGCTCAGGAAAGGACCAGAGAAAAGGCCAGTGGAAAGTGAGAGCTGGTTATGGAGGAGCCAGAGGCTGGTAACAATGGCTAGGTTTTATCCTCTGAACCATACGGCATCACACTTTCCCCCCTGGCTGAGCAGGAAGTACGATTGAAGCTGTATTATAAGGCGCCCATGGGTATTGTAGGCAGAAGTAAAAGTAGATAAGTGCATCGTTTTCTACTTCGAACCATCTGCGTTTCCGTAAGTCTCACTGTTTTTGTTCTGCTTTGTGGTAACCTTGACAGCAGAGGAATTGGACAGGAGTCCATTTACCTTTTAACACCAAGTTTCCATGGTTCTGACTATTTTTTCATACCAGGAGCAGTGTTGCCTGCTCTCTGCTGGAAGTACCGGTACCAAATGTTTCTGGTTTAATTAGCAGCAGCTACACTTCATCAAGTCTAGAACTGCTTAGATTGAAACTGCCCTCTATGCATCTGAAGGCAAATGACATGATTCTGAATCTGACCTGTAGGCTTCGCTGGGCTACTTTATCAACCCCCATTACAAAGTTAGTTCGTTTTTGTCAGTTGAATAAAACCTTTTTATTTATCTTTTATTTTTTTGTACTTCACAGGACAGGAAGGCATTTGAAATAGGAACTTTGTGACAGTGTCTGCAGCAGTTAAAAATACTTTTGCCTGATTTTAGTTTTCCTCAACAAGGATGCAATCATCAAAATTATTAGTGGTCACTGGATGAAATCATTGCACACTGTAGAAAAGGGAGGGGTTTGAAATTGCTTTCTTTACACTTCAATCCATCTTGGATTGTTTATAAGCTTGAAGCACTTCATCCATGGTGACCAGCTTCAGCCTGACTTACTGATTATATCGGTTATACCTGCTCTACGGTAGTTGCGCTTAAATCATAAAAAGCAACAGAAATTTGCTTATTATAAAACTCAACTGCATTTGTGTGTTGCTGTTAAAGATAGTTCTTGTTGAAGAGAGGAATTGAAACCACCGATGGTTTCCTGTCCTAACACATTAGCCTACGAACAATAGCATACTCTTGCAAGCCTATGCATGCACAATGGCAAATATGAATTTAGGCCTCCCTTTTGTTTTGTGTCCTTGTGTCTTATTAACAATTATTTCAGCCTAATATGTTGACTTTGGAATATGGTGACAAACTCCCTCAAAGAAGGAAAAATAAATACATTTGACCTATACAAATATGACACGTTGTGATGTGTATTTTAGTTTTTAAAAGGCAAACTAGTCATACAAGACACATCAAACAACTTCTTTTTTGAGTACTGGTATATCATTTATAAGAAAAAAATGAGTAATAACTAGGTAATGATATTGTTTGGGGTTGAGCAGGATGGATCTTGTTTACATGAGGGCTCTGAACCAGCTCCTACAGTTGAAGGACAAAATTAGTTGGTCAGTAATTGTCCTTTGGCAAACATGCTGAAGAAGTGCAGTTCTCAAACTGACCTCTGACCTTTCTCTAGAGTTAGGCAAAAAGAGGATATCCTTTCCAGGAAGGATCCTGTTTTAATTTTTCCTTTTTTTTCATGTCAGTGACTTCTCAGAATAACCTCTGGGTTATTCTAGTTAGGTTTTTGTGTGAATACTGACCATAAAAGTCTAATTACTGTGAGAGCAAATAGACCATTTGTCACTTTTTAAACCCAGTAAAGAGTAACTGTTCATATATCATTATTTGCTGACTCCTCCAACTCGAGACACTTACCTGAGTGGACAAAGCGTTAGGGACACTCTTGAGGCTGAGTTGGAAACTGTTAGTTGGTCTTCTAAAGATCAAGTGGTTGCATCATGGCACACACAGTCCTGTTTTATTGATTAGCCACAATGCCTGCTCCAAGGTAAAAGGTCATTTTTAGATTCTGTGTCCCAACATGCTCATTTATTGGTTAAATATAACAGATAAAATAATTATTGTTGGAGTGCTGTTTTAGTTCAAGTTGGATCTTTAATAATGAGAATCAATATAATCAGATAGCGTTTGTAAAAGGTGTCTCTTATCCAATCCAATTTTCCAAACTTTTGAGTTATTTTCAATCAAGTTTACTTGTAATTTGGTCTCCAAAGTTGTGGTAGTAACATTATTTTTTGTCTGATCAACAGAAAAGGACTTAAACACAAAATGTATTGTGGACATGGCGAAGAACCAGACAATTCTCCACCCTGCTGGAGCTAACCTTGGAAAGTCTGACTCCAGGTAAGCATGCTATTTATATGATTACGCTTTGGTTCAACACCACTGATTTATTTCCTTCATACATACTCGATCCAGCTAAAAAACAATTGTCAAATTCTTGTCTTTACATGTTGAGGGATACATCCTTACATAATGGACAGTGTCAAAATCTAGAAATGATAAATGTGTGTTTATTTGTTACGTTCTTTTGAATTCAAATAAAAGCTATTCAAATGCGTTTTTAGTATCATTTCAACAAACGTTCATAAAATTCATTCACAACTGCAGAAAATGACTAGATGAATAAACTTGCAGATGTTCTTGTCAATAGTTTGAAAATTATAACAAAAACAAAATAATACTATAACTTCCACCAAAAATAATGGACAGCTAATTCCAGTTTAGTCAGCTGCATTTTTTTTATTTGGATACAATATTTTGGAATAAAGAATTACAATTCTCAATGTAACTCTCATCCTCCACTTGAAAACACTTCTGACAGCGCAACGTTTTTCTGTATCAGTCCTGCCCCCACAGCGCTGAATGTACGAGACTGCATGCTTTTGGGTCTTCTCAAGGTGGGAGAGTACAGTCATTTTCATGGTCTGACGTATTTTAGAACAAATTGTGGGACTAATTTTATTAATTGTCTAGACAAGATTTCATTAGGATAAATACCTTTTTGGCAAATTGATAATTGACTGTTAAGTGTGCTTAAAGATGTCAGCTTAAACTGCTGAAATTTTCATAAATCCCACACTGATAGTAATTTTACACCCTCTAGCTCAGGGCTATTCAACTGGCAGCCCGGGGGCCAAATCAGGCCCACGGGTGTGCTCAGTTTGGCCCACCACTTGGTTCATTTTAAAATAAAACTAAATATTAAATGATAAAACACACTTACTTAATGAGAATAACTAATGGATGTCTGGTCCCTGAGCTCTTGGCTTTCAGTAACTGTGGACCCTGAGTAATTTAGTAGAATAGCTCTTCTCTAGCTCTGCTAGGTGTGGTTAGCATAGTCACTGGACTGTTAAATATGTAATAAAGATGTGGAGTGATGAAACGATTCTGGGTGGAGTTTGCATGTTCTCTGTGCATGCGTGGGTTTTCTCTGGGTACTCTGGTTTCCTCCCACAGACCAAAAACATGCATGTTAGGCTGATTGGTAACTCTAAATTGTCCCTAGGTGTGAGTGAGAGAGTGAATGGTTGTCTCATTTGTCTCTATGATGGACTGGAGATCTGTCCAGGGTGTCCCCTGCCTCTTGCACAGTGACTGCTGGAAATGGGCACCAATGACACCCCCCCCCCCAACCTGAAAAGGAAGAAAGCAGGTAAAAGATAATGGATGGAAGACTTGCAGATATGGAGTTGCAACTTTTTAAAATAATCGTGCGTTTTTTTAGTTGCTTTAAACATGCAAATACTGTCATGGCAGTCCAACAGTTTTTGTCTTGATTCCTGCACTCTGACCAAAATACAGACGCTTAGGAATGTATGCTTTGTTTTGTTTTTTCTCTAAAAGCTTTGATGGGAACATGTTTGGTCCTCATGATGTAGTTTTTGGCAAGAAAAGCCTACATCATGACCAACAAATGTCACCTCACACCACCTGTTTCTTTTTTGTCATCTCTTGGGTTTATTTTCTCTCATCTTGCTGACCAGCTGTTCTTATTGGGCTATGCCAAACTGTGCTTGTACTCCGGTGTTTTAATCCTCATTCTGAGAGAGGCTTTTAGAAGTATTAGATTTAGTTACAAGGCAGAGCAGGAATGTGTGTTCCACTGAGAAGGCAGGTTATAAAGGTCATTATTCCAAACGTAATCTAAAAGCTGCTTTTTTTATGTAATGACGCAAAATCAGCTGTTGAGTCAAGCTTAAGTACTGACTGATCATCTTTGGGAAAGTAAGCTGTGCTGGAAGAAAGGGCCTCTGTACGTTTTGGAGCTGACTGCTGCCTGCCTGACTAGAATCAGTAAATAAAGTTGGATTCAGCCTGAGGTTCAGGAGCAGACAGCAGCAGGTGTGTGTGTGTGTGTGTTTGTGTGTGTGTGTGTTTTAGAGCTGGCTAGAAAAACAGACAGCAGCATTGATACGCAGCCAGACACAGACACTTGTTCATAAAAAGTCACTCTACTCCGATCTTCTTTCCCCTCGCTCCATCGGATCGTAACTTCCCACTGCCCGCTTTCCTCAATTCATCTGTTGCCATGGCAGCTCGGTGGGAGGTTAACTCCGGGTCGCTGATGATGACCAGGGAGCCCCTTCCATGAGTGAGGAGAAGATGGAAGAGGGGGGGTAAAGCTTAATTTACTCTAGCATCTGTCGACCATAAACTTTCCTCAGTGACGTTTATGGAGGAGTGAACAAGAGCGGAGCTGTAGGTTCCTTCTCTGTCGGTTTGTGACAAAGCGGCGAGGGAGCGACAGCAGGATGGGCTGACTTGACTGCTGCTCTTATTGTGCAGATGCTGTTTTAATTTTGCTTGTTTGAGTCCAGTTTACATTGATGTAGTACTTTGTTTGGTTGTTGGGAAAAAAAAAAGACAGCAGTGGGTTCATAGAGGAAGTCGGTTAAGTTAGTGCGCTGCAGGTGCCTGATGTTTGCTTAAGCTGACTGAGTCACCAGGACTTCCTTTGTTTAAATATGTGGAGACATATTTAGAAGAAAAGAAGGGATAATAAAGAGAGGATGGGTTTGTACAGAATTCAAATTGTATCTGTTCTGGTGTATCTTATTTCAATAATTGGAATATCAGCAAATATTAATATGCCCCTTTAAATTTAATATTAAAAAAACAACAAACTGGAACCACACCAAAGGTATATGTATGTCCTTTCTAAAAGTGTAAATTTGGTTTACAGTAAAGATAAATTAAACATTAAGCCTGTAAACTTTCACACTTTTATAAACCCTGTGTTGCACAAAAACTAATTTGAAACCTTTGTAGCTCACAAATGAGCCCCTGAAATGATTTTCTGCTTATAAACCAAACAGACTTGACAAACCTTGAATACATATTGTTTGTAGACATTTCCAATTTGCAGTAGGCCTAATATGTTAAACTGAATACGAGGAATACTTTGTTCTTTCCCCAAAGGAAAACAACATTGTTACAATTTGTGCTGTTGTATAAACAATAATAATTTAAAATATAAAATCAGAACAATCTGTGATTATGGAGTCTTTTAGGGTGAATTCACACCAGCCCTGTTTAGTCCGCTTTAATCAAACTCTAGTCCATTTGCCTAGAAAGTCTGGTTCGGTTTGGGGAGGTGTGAATGTGCAATCGAACTCTGATGCGGACCAAAAAAGTGAAGTCTGGTTCGTCTGAATACCTAGGTCTCGATTCAGTTTAAGTGAACTCTGGCGTGGTTTGAATGTATTGTGAATGCAAGCGGACCGGAGACTGCTCCAAAAGCAGGAATTGGACTACAGCGCAGGGCATTCTGGGTAAATACAACCAAAACAAACGGGCATTTCTCTTACCTCATACGGAGCCGTCTGTCGCCTTGTGTGAAAAACAACATTCTCCATGGTCTTCTGCCTCATCTTCTGCTCATTCTGAGTCCATTGTTAAAAAATGACTGAACAGAAATCCTAAAAGTACTAAAATTTGACACCACTCTATTTTTGTTTTTATTTCCAGAAGAAGAAGTGTCTTCTTCAGATGTTTTTGTGCCGTTTCCTTCAGTAGTTCTTGGTGCAGCGCCACCACAGGCGAGTGGGGGAACAGGTTGACTCGATTGACTCGGTGCAGTGTGAATACAAACTGCACCAGCTGAAAATGTAAACAAATGTTCTGAATATTGGTCCCCAGTCAAACCGAGTCTACCGGACTATCAGGTGTGAAAACAACCTTAGTCTCTTGCGACCACAAGAGAGTGCAGATTTGATCAGTATTCGTAGTATTTAAGTAGACCAAAGATAATCAGTAATGTGTGTGCAGTGTTTCTATTATGTTTAGAAATTTGTGTATCTATAAGGTTTACAAACAGTGACTTCTAGCTTACAAATGCTCATATAGGAAACAGTACTATGAATCACAATACTGCCTCTTTATGAACTCTGAGAGCTAAGCTGTATTTGTCCTGTTTAACATGAAATGACTTTTTGTTTGTTGTCCAGTGTCCGTGACACATTTTTCTCTTTTTTCCCCCCTGTTAGAACAACCAGAGATGTCAGGGCACTATGTACCAGTCTGTCTGATAAGCAGAGATTTACCCCCCCTGCAGCTTTATGATCAGACACTGCAGTTTGCATGATGACCTAAGGCTGTTTGCTCTGGACTGAGGAAGCTAAATGTTGACACGCTCGGACAAAGATCTGTCCCATGTTAGTGATGCAAACACAAGCAGCCTGGTTTCCAAGACGATAGACAAAAGAGGCTGTTTGGCTCTGTGTCTGAGCTGATGTTGTATGTTTTTGAGTGTGTGGGTGTATCCATGTATGTTTGAGGCCATCTTGTAATAGTGGAAGTCTTTAAACTGCTTTACTAATATACATATTTAAGTCTGAGAAAACACTAGCCTGGTTTTCATAGTTTGGATGTTTGCACAGGCTGTCTTCTATATAATCATGCTCACAGCATGAGGATCTATTGTCCTGTGGCTCTGCAGTCTGTGTGCACTGTAATGAAGAATTAGCTTCTTACATCTCCTGTTGACATGTGCCATGAGTATGTACCCTGTTACCCTGATGACCTTTGTACTTCAGCTTAAAATTCCAGTCTCAACTTCAGTCTCGATTCCCTCTAAATCCCATGGCTACCTTTTAGCTTTCTTTCCTTCCTCCACAGCCGTGGATGCTACGGTGCAAGAGAGAGGGGGGAAAAAAAGAATGCAGTAACAGTAGGGAAACAAAGAGGAGGGTGGGAAGCAATCATGCATTAAGTTATTTTTTAAATTACGGCAACCAGCTGAAGAGAGGAGGAACGAATAGGATTGTTTCAAAGCTATGAGAAGGCGGGTTCACACTCTCCTGACCGTCTCGTTCTCCCTTGTTATTCGTCAGTTGTGG